ACATACTATGATGTTATGGCTCGTCTTCGTTTTAACTATACTGATGAAGCTTTCAAAGTATTGACTAGCATGTTAGAACGTGTTGATAATGATTCTAACTGTTTAACATTTAATTATGAAAAAGGACGAATACGAGATGATTTTGGAGAAGATTTTGTACAAATTGGAAGTAATTTTCCATTTCCTGAATCAGGTATTGCTGTTGTCTCGTTTCTACATGGTTTTGTAGGTGTTATAGCTAAGACTGATGGATTACATATTTGTCCTCAACTTCCATCCTTACTTGATTTTGTTCAAGCTCAAATTAATTATCTTGAAGTATTATTAACAATTAGAGTGAGCAAACAAAATTCATCAGCTATTTATCATCTTACAATTCCAGAACGACAATTATCAATTGATCTTTTTCGTGGTAGTTGTTATTATCTTAGTTCTTTAAAATAAATTCATATTTCTATTAGCATCCGTCCATTTATGAAAAAATTCAGTATTAATATTTTTATCTTTTTTGTTTTTGTATTTGATAAACATACAATGAGACATGGATCTCACACTCTGTATTATAATGTTATCTCACCTTCAACTATTGGTTAGACGAGGAATCAAACTAAAATTTGTAGCAAATATTCCGCTAGCATTAGTTAGTTCTTAATAAATGAACTAATGCATCCATTTTTGTAACTTTTTATCATTATCTCTAAGAGTATCTTTAAAAACAAGTCGAAATTCCATGTTTTGTCTGTGTCGAATTATATCCAAAATAAACAATGATCAGAGCATGTTGATACATTTCACGTTTTAAAGTTAGTGCAGAAGTTGATGAGAATTTTAACTATGTTACAACATGTAGTATGTTCTTTTATTAATCTCTAGCTACAAGAAGCCATTTACAATCGCAAACAAAACAACAATAAAATTATAATATTTTTACAAACATGGATACTAAATATCATATTGCTTGATCCTCAAAAGTTTTTCACAGTGATCTCGTTGATTTGATGAGGTTTTCATGATAATACGTTATTTTGTTCTATGCTATTCGATAGTTCTCTTCAGCAATTAGCTATATAAGTATTAGTTTGTCCTGACATCATGCTAAATATATTTGAAATTGCAAACAATAAAATCATCGTCATCTATGAAAAATTTTATGTCTTATATTACTAAAGAATTTGGCTATGGCTTTACGAAAGACTTTTCCACCAGCCAACGTATAGATATAGAATGGTATTCCATTTGCTACAAAATGAAGTAATTGAGCAAGACTATAAACCAAATTTTCAATGGCTGCTTGCAGTGCAGATGGTGTTCTACCATCCGCTATTGCTGAGTATAATTTCTGAACAGCCAACGGAATAGATAATATGAAAAGAATACAAATTTGTACAAGAAGCATAATTAATACATTTTGATCTTGCTTGGTCATTCGATGTCTTTGATTCGCATTACCTGTCACGTTGTTTGTTACTTTTGATGTTGACTTATGAGCAATTCTGCGTCTTGACTGACGAATATTGTAGATGGTCATCAAACCAAACATTAACATGAGAGGCAAAGGAAAAATAGAAAAAAACGTAAATGATATATCTGTCATTAATCGGCATGTTAGTGTTATACCATAACATTTTTGTGGAGCATTGATAAGATTTGGCTCATGACAATAGATAATGTGTGAAAAAATCACAATAGCCACCATGAGACTGATAATCATGGCACGTTTAGCGTTTTTCAATGAACTCA